AAGGTCTTAAAAACCTCCACGGATGGAGATTCCACCTCCTCTCTGGATGACATGTTCCAGTGTTTTACTACTTTCCTAAAGAGAGTTTTTCTTACTATCTTACCTAAATTTTCCTTGCTACCACTTAAGACCGTTGTTCCTTGTCTCATCTGGCACCACTGAGAACAGTCCAGCTCCATCTTCTTGAAACCGCCCTTCGGGTAGTTGAAGGCTGCTATTAAATCTCTCTTCAGTCTTCTCTTCTCCAGGCTAAATAACTTTTAAGTTATTCTGCAGCAGTCTAGGCATCTCTAATGCCATTTTGTCTTTTTTGGGTTAGATCTTGATACTATAAACCTTTATTCATACAAATAGTCCTTTTTGGCTAAACCTATTTGAAAGATTCTTAATTGGCACCTGTGCAAATGGTTCTTTAGCAAAGGTACACATGGCCTTTATTCCCTGCCCCCTCCCCCCACAGTCTTATTTTAAAGAACTTCCCCAACTGTTTTATGGGTCTTGTGGGGCCATGTTAATTTTATAAATGAGTATACTCCCAGACTTTATGCAAAAGCATCAGTCTAATAGCATGCACAGTATTAATACACTACATACAAAGATATAGTTACAGCTTCTGTTGAAATTTCAATTTGGCATATATTGAAATGTTTTTAAACTCTCAGTTAATAATGCTCACATTTAGTACCAAGTACATGCACACATGTTCATAACTAAATGAAAGGAAGTCATCTGTTTACAGAAATAAAATGCAGTGTGTATAAATTCATTCTTGTGGAAAATATCTTTCTTTTTAGGATTCTCTGTTCCCGTTATCTCCGTTCTAATTTTTATCCCCTCTAATTTTTATGTATTTGTTGTTCGTTCTGATGTACTGTAATGTATGGTTATCTAGGAGTGTGCGAAGTGGGCTGTAGTTGATTCGGATTTGGCCCGAATCAGGGACAGTGATTCGATTAATTGATTTGGATCGCTGTCCTGATTTCAATTTTGGCTGAATCCAAATCTGAAGATTCAATGCTGATTCAGAGAATCAGCGATTCGGCCATAGACACAGCTTTAAATGCTTTTTCTACATACCTTGAGGTACCAGGTATGGCTTGTGAACGCTGCAATGGTGGGGCAGATGGTGCATCCCACAGGAGCACAGGGGGAGCCTGCATGCTTGGCAGCGAACCCGGAAGTGGACCAGAAATACTTCCAGTCTGCTTCTGGGTCCACTGCTGAGTGCTCAGGGGGCCCCCACTGCACCCCTCCGGCTCGGCAATCAGTCCTGGGGGGACCCCAGGTGTCCCTCCAGACCCAGGAGGCACCAGTCGCCAAACTGGGTGTGTATAGGGGGGCCCCCCAGTGCACTCCCTGGCGGACCCAGAAGTGGACCAGAAGTGCTTCTGGTCCACTTCCATGTCTGCTGCCAAACATGCTGGGGACCCCCCTGCCCTCCTGTGGGATGTTCCATCCACCCCACCATCTCAACGTTTATGAGCCGCCTGGTACCTTGAGGTATGCAGAAAAAAAACATTTAAAGTTGTGTCTATGTCCGAATCATTGAATCTCTCCAAATTGATTCAGAGGTTCCGATTCGATTCAGAGAAATTAAAGGGTCTCCTGATTCAGTTTGATTCAGAGATTCGGCCACTAAATTGGGCCAAATCTCCGCTGAATCAAATTGGCGACCAAAGCTTTGCACTATATAAAGTGTGGTGGCATGTTGCATAGGAAAGGATATATGTTAGCCAAATAAAACTTGAGCTGTGCATGGGCAATAGTTCTAATGGATTACTTCAATAGACTTGATATGTGAACTGTTCATGTTCCGCGTTCATTGTATATGCTTTTTTTTGTTTGCAGAATACAAATAAGCAGTACCTGGGGGAGGTGTTCTTTGATGTCTCGCTGGCTTGTTGGTCTGTTGCACTGGTGGTAGTCACTCAGCTAGGTCTTGGCTCTGCATTTGTATGTGCAATGTGGGTAGCATTTCCTTTACTCACAAAGCTAATGGTCCATATGGAATTCAAACAAAATGGTAAGGACTTTTTTTTCTTTGTTCCTTTTTGTTCTTCCTGTATTCGGAAACCTCAATCTCAATTATTCTGAGTTGGGGCAATGTTTTAGTAGTCATTTAATATGACCTAAAATAAAGATTATTCCCAGAAATTTCTGAGAGAAACACAAATTACTTTTCTGAGCTTTAACTAAGATTAGTCTAAGCTTATTGGTCGTCTTTCTTTCAGTAACAGTTGCCTTAGGCTATGGGCAGCTCTGAAGTATGGAGATATGTAGAAGTAGCTTGAGTCATATACTGTGTATCAGTGTAAACTCAGATAAACAAACACCATGTTCAGTTATGGTCATTGGTCAGATATTTGAATGAAAAATGGGACCAAAATCCATTTTCTGGTTATGCATATTGGTTGGGACAGAAGTCCACTTAATTGTTTCACAATTTAAGTATAGTATGATGGTGACTTTCTGACTGGGGGCAGGGTGGGGAGGGGAGGAAAGAGAGAGAGAGAGATTAGTAACAGATTAAAAATTTGTATCTTACAGTCTAAAGATTATTGCTGCTTTTTTTTTTCTCCCCGTTAGGTGCCACAATTAGATTTGCCATGATTTATATGCTGGGAATGCTTATTCCATACCTCTATATAATGTACATCATCTGGACAGTATTTGAAATGTTGACTCCCATCCTGGGGCGAAGTGGGACAGAAATTCCGCCTGATGTAGTGATGGCAGGCCTTATTGTGAAAAGTACTATAGTTCTGTCTTCCTATTTTGTAAGGAGGCTTTTTCTTTTAACCTCATGATCTATATATACAGTTTTTCTATTTTGTTTTTTTTAAAAAAATGTTTGAAGTCACTGTTGTCTTAATTGTTGGTTAAAAGGCTAGGCTGTCACAAGAAGCTCCTACAAAACCAGATAAATGTTCACATTAATGTGAAACTAGATTGATTTAGTGCAGTTGATTTGTAGGTACTTGATCAGCCACGTTCTCCTGTGTATAAGAATGCATTGCATGTGTGATGAGACTACCATATTTACTTGAATCCAAAATGAGCCCTGAAGGCTCCCCTGTTACCAGGGTAGGGGGAGCCCTTTGTCTTGGATTCAAGTTGAAGCCAGAGTCAAAGCTGCAACAGCTGCCTGCCTTCCACAGCTTCTGTCATCCCCCCTTCCCCTGCCACTTACTGTCAGGTGTGGCTCCGGCTCCGTTCCTTTCTGGCGCATGAAGAACATAGTAGCTCCAGCTCCTGCCTGGCTAGGCAGCAGCATCCCAGAGCTGGAGCTGCCACTTGCTGCTGAATGGTGGGACAGACTGTCAGGAGCAGGGACACAGGCGATAGGGCACAGGTACTGTGAGGGCAGGGAGACAAGGGGGCTGCATGCCCCCTTGTGTTTGCTTACTCTGCTGCAGCAGTTTGGGAGGTCAAATTTAAGATGACCCTCCAATAATTAGATTATATATGTGGAAAATTAACCTTTACAAATTTTCCATATATAGAATCTAATTACTGGGGGGAGTGTCTTAAATTCAAAGTTGTCTTGGATCCAGGTAGACATAGTAAGTTAAGTTTGAGGGAGTTTTAAATGCAGAAAATTGTAAATTGTTACTTGAATAAAACCAACATGGGCAGAATACACAAGAAGATACTTATTATAGTATCTTTGTATATAAGAACCATGCAAGGGGAAGTGTGTAATTTAATCTTGAGGCATTTTTTATGTCAGCCTAATGGGAGTTGAGTATAACTTTAAAATGTGTCACTGAGCAGGATGGATATGATTGAAGAGTATTTATAAGGCATTCCTCATTGCCCACTAATTGATTTTCTTGGGAAATATTTTGTGTTTTTTAAATTGTGCTTGAAAATGCTTAGAAGGGTGCATGCTGTTTTATCAAATTGGTCTTCTAAGCTGGCAGGTGACGTTCAGAAGTCTTGCATCACATTAAATGGTAGTTCTGAAGATAGTGAAATGTCCTCTCAAGTGCATAAGATTATTTTTCTTAAAAGTATACTAGTAATATTTCTTGTTAAATGTAGTATTCTTTTAACTATGGTTTTCTTTATTCTCTAGCTAAACTTCATCTACCTTGCTAAAAGTACAAAGAAGACTCTAACAAGTTTAACTACAGTATTTATGGTTACATTAGTTCTTGTTTGCAGTGGAATCTTCTTTCCATACAGTTCTGATCCAGCTAATCCAAGACCTAAACGAGTCTCACTCCAGGTAAGACAAGCCTTATATCATATGTGGCCTTGTAAGGTAGTAGATCAGTGGTCTCCAGAGTGGGGTGCACAAGACAATCCATTGGGGTGCGGGAAGAAAATATTAGGACTTCTATTTATATTTATTTTTTATCTAAAAAAATAAGAAAGAAATTAAGCTTTACTAATATTTAATATATGGATTGACACTGGCACCCTCACTCAGTCCGTATGTCTGATAGTCACGTGTCATGTACGGTACGCGAGTAGTACATGTATATAATTTATAAATAAATAAATATACATATATTGGGGGTGCGTGCTCAAAAGTTTTTTATTGATAGTGGTGCTCGATCAAAAAAGTTTGGAGACCACTGTAGTAGATAAACTTCTGTCTTTCCCTGCGAGTAGTGTTGAGGTTGTCTAGCAAAAAGGGCCTTTGTACTGCTTTAACTATCGCTGTATGAGTGTCTGTGCAGGAAAGTGTTTTTGGTCAAGGCCTTTACTCAGCACGTAACATCTCTGAGGATGGTGAATACTTCTCATTTTCCGTAGAACTAAAGACTGCCTGGATGTGATAACATACAATTCAGGCTTCAGTTGTACTTACTTGATTCCTAGAAGCAAACTTCTGTTTTAAAGGTCTCGATTCAGTCTCTCATTTGGCTAAACCTTTTCTGCCTCTGGTCATCCCAGACAAGCTCCTGGTATCTTCTCTCTTCTCCCTGGAACCAGATAGGCTTCAACCAGGCTGCATGTTGCACTCTAAGATTTACTGCAGGTGTGGATGAGAACTGCTGCCTTTGTTCACGGGCTCAAGTCCTGAGGACCTGTGGTAGCATACGTTAGAAGTGCAGTCTTTTCCCTTCCTGGTGTGAGGGGCTCAGACCCAGTCCTGTTCCATATCAAAGTCTTTGCTTCTGTTGGTCCCAAACATGCATTATATCTCAGGAGTATGATCCTATTCCCCCTTACGCAGATGCACAGTTTTCCCATTCTGGCAATGGGTAACCTTATGTAACCTTATGCAACTCCAAATCGTGATCCTGTTTTACTTGGACAAGCACACTGTTCTCTCCTCCTTTCCATGGGGCAGCTTTATGTGCTTTTCTTGTTGGGATCCAGCTCCCTCAGAGGCCTAACAGAGCACCTGAAGTAGCACACTGGACATACTTTACATTGAAGTCAGTGCTGCTGCCCATCAGTAAAGGGGTATAGAAAGAGTATGGCCCAGTAATGTAGTCGAAAAAGTAGGTGACCTGGATTCTAATTTAAGGCAGCTTGAACTCCCAAGTTTATAGGAAAGTGTCCTAATCCTTGGGCTGTGGGCTCGACGGGGTTGAGGGCATCTACTATGCTTCTTGTTGAAGCCTGGCCACATTGTGGAAAGAAGGTTAAGGGATGTTGGGGCCTGAAGAAAAGCTTGCAAGATAGAGCCTGCCTCTGGAGCCCAGTGAGTAGGGCCATCTCCTGTAAGGGTGGAAGCTCTAGGTTCTGATCTTGACTCCCAGTGCTCTTTGTGCCATTTATCCAGTGACTAGTTGATACAAAATGTATAAATGCAAGTGTCAGCAGCCAGATCTGACCCACAAAGTCTTTTAATCCAGCCAGACAGGGACTTTGGTGGCATTGAGTGGCGGGAAGGCCTCAACAACAGTCACATTTCCCATGAAGGGAGAAGCAGTAGCAGTGGGTGCTTTTCCTATTCTGTCACTGGGAGAAACAGTAGCAGCAGATGCTTTCCTCATGCTGGCACTGGGGAAAAAAAGTGGTGGCTGTGCCACCTTCCCACCAGCCTGCTGCTGACTGAGACTGGGTCAGTCTGGCCCATAGCCTTACAAGGTTGCTGACCACTGAATTAACAGCATTGTTATTCAAGTTATTTGCTATGGTTTATCCAAGGGTGCACAGCTCAGACTTGGAGGGCCATTTGCAAGGATCACTTTCCAATGGGAGGCTGTCACTGGCGGGAATGGATTGGATATGAGCCAGCAGCATGTCTAGAAGCAAGAAGCTGGATGGCACGTGCAGGCATACGCTCAGATTAATGAGCTGCTGCACAGTAATGGCATAGTTTGCAATAATGAAATGTAATTTAGCTTTGTTTTGCTTTTGAAATCTCTTTAAAAAGAATTGAGAAATAAGCGAGTCATTTGACAGAATCATGGCAGGCCACTGGGATTGTCGCTGGAAGCTGTAACCCTTGTTTAGGCTTTGACCAGGCCCAGTAAACACTGGTGTTTTATAAAGGGTGGTGTGAAGGGGTCATATGTAAATACATGGCAGCAGAGTCTTTCAATGTCAGGAGTTTTCAATCTTATTAGCTATGAGCTGGTACCCCTTGGAAAAAGCCAGTTCTTAGTTTTCTGTAGTCAATAAAAACCCAAAAACACAAGCAAAACTAGTAGTTTATTGCAGAGGACTCGGACCACAACACAGAAGCATGTTTTTAACATTCCTATTTGAAATCTCTTCATTTATCTTGTGAATCATATGTGGGTATTTGCAGACCTAACCTTTTGAACTGTGGCACCCTGGTTGAGAATCACTTCTAGTTGCTATGATTACAGGATGTGGGGGGCATATAAGTAATTAGATTGAAAATTCCTTTAATACCACAGGAGATGCTTACAGCTGGTCAAAAACGTGTGGGTACTTGTGCAGGCCAGCGGTAAGCAATGTTTGTCAATGATGGCCCAGAATGACCTAGCTTGGATCTGAAACGGGCGGGTGCTTGGATCTGCTAGCTGCTGCTACCGTTTCTTCTCCCCACCGCCGAGCTGTGACATGGGGAACAGCTGCTGGCAAAGCCTATCTCCCCCATGATGAAATGCCACCAAAGACCTTGATGTCACAGGCTGTAGGTTGTGACCCCGATGTAGGGTGTCTTGGACTTGGTTCATCCAAGTAGTCAGATGCCTGATATCTTTTTTGCTTATTTCTTGCTCTTCCAGCATACGAATAGAAGATTTTATGGTCTAGATGGAAAGTTGGTAAAAAGTGATTCTGGAATATGGATTAATGGGAATGACTACACTGGAATATCTCACATCACTGCTCATATACCTGAACTCAATGAAAGCATTAGAGCTCCTTGTGAGGAGCAGGCCCCTCACTGTGGCTTTCCTTGGATGCTCCCTGTGCATACTTTCTTCAGGTTGGTAATAATGCAGCCTCTTTTTAAGCATGTTGAGGATTTAATACCCGAACATTTGGAAGCTTACTTCTGTAGGAAAGGAATAATACAGCAATTTTCATAATGGGCAGTTGCACTATGCTGTCTCTTCCACACTACAGTAGACAACAGGAAGCTTAAGAGCTGGCACATGAGAACTAATGTCATGTCCTCATACACAAATATGGGTAGCATTTTGGAAGTCCCCCAAATCTTTACTTTGATTCTCTTGTAACCTGTGTTACATTAAGTTGTTGGACAGTTTCAGTTGAAGAAAGGGAGATGAGGAATGAATGCATAATAATGGCAATTCTGCTCTTCATTGAATGGCCATGTAAATGTTATGATTGTGGCTACAGACTGTTTATCTTTCATCTTTATCTTTTTGATTATGTGACTCTTGAATATTTCCAGTTAGGACATTATGGCTGGCTCTGCTCTTGTGCCCAACTGGTAGTGTTTACCTCAAGGTGTTGTATTGAGTGTAAAATGCTTTGTGTTACAGAAAGACCTGGTATCTTCCTGCTCCAGAACTTTTTCTAAAACGCCCTGTTCATTTTAAACTTCTAAGCAAACAGCGAACGCCTTGGGATTCCACAAAGTTAACTTTTGAAGTATCAGGTGAGTGACAGCCTCTAGGTTGTGAATCAGTGACTGCTTATAAAGCACGCCTAAATGCAAGTGGCCATCCCAGGAATAGGGGAGGTATTGGGACTAATCCACAATGGGGAACTTTACAGTATTCCGGGCACATGATAAAGCATATTGCACATGTTGCAATTGGAAACTGAATGGATCAATACATTGTATACTTATTTTGAATGATCTGTTGCCTTTTCAGCTGTTTGTTTATTTATTGGGTAATCCAGGCTTTCAGTTTGCTGAGGAAGAATGTGGATTTTCTCCTTTAAAGGAGAAAATCCCAGGAAACTGGGTTTCCCTTTGCAGGCCAGCAGAGCCCCAGCCTGCAAGGGGCTGCTTGGGACTGGGGGAAGCAGGATGCAGGGGGCACCACATGCATGTGTGTGCGCATGCATTCACTTGGCAGCCAGACAGTGTGGTGGAGAACAGCTCCCATAACTCCCTGTAAGTAAGTCTATGGAGCCATGAGGAGCACAGGTGACATGGTGGGGAGGGAGAGTGGGAGCATATGCCCCCTCAGATTTATGTGCCCACAGTGGGGTCTGGGGCTGCAGCATTGCAGGACTTCTCCAGGTAGGAGCCACCTCTGTGGCCCAGTGGGCAGGACCCGACTGGGAGGGAGTGCTGTGCCACCATGGCCATGAAGGTAAGATGCTTCCTGCCCACTTGGCATCAGCAGGGACACAACACTGCACCGCCATCACTGTGGTTCACTTTGGTGGCCGTGATGGCACAGCGCTCCCTTCTGTGCTGGGTCCCACCTGCTGGGCTGTGGAGATGGCTCCTGCCTGAAGCTGGTCCAACCAGGCCGCAGCCCTGTGCCCTGCTGTGGGCACAGAAATTGGAGGGGGGGGGGTCACATACCCCCTGCCCCTTCCCCGTGTGTCACCTGTGGGGCCAGCTCCACACACATTACCTGTGCCCACACCTCCCCTCTTCCCCATATACCCACCCCCTTCCTCACGCTGGGGGGCTGGGGTGGGGGATAGTAGGTTGGGAGTGAAGGGCACTGGCAGGGCTGAGGGGGCTGTGGGGCGGGAGTGACAGGCACTGGCAGGGCCAGAGGAGAGGAGGGTCAGGAGAGCTCTGTTTTTTCTATGATAAAAAAAAAAGTCAAAATCAAATGCCAAAATTATGTAGGTATTTAAGAATTTATTTTATTATAATGATTGAGGCACTGGTAGGTTTCCACATTGCTTTAAAATTGTAAATATATCAGTAAAACATTGTGTTTAACACGTTCAACTGTTCAACTCCTTAGACAGCTGTGGGAGCTGCTCACCACCATGTTGCCTGGCTGCCATGTGCATACATGCACATGCACGTGGCACCCCCTGCATCTTGCAGCCCTGTGCAGGCTGGAGCTGTGTTGGCCTTGCAAGGGGAAACTCTCAGTTTCCAGGGTTTTTGTTGAAAGGAGAAAATCTACGTTTTTCCGTGGTGAACAGAAAACGTGGATCCCCAGTTATGACATAGACTTAAAATAAATAAGTGTGGGTGTAGGTATGTATATACATATATACTTGTACAGGTACTCCTCACTTGATGTTGTAGTTAGGTTCTTGAAAAATGTGACTTTTCACTTAGCATCATTTTGCTTATCCAGTTTCCCATAAGAATTAATGTAAATAGGGGGGTTAGGTTCCAGGGAATTTTTTTTTTGCTAGACAAAAGACATTATATATCTGAGCCTGCAGCCCCCTACCCCTGCTCCCCCGTGCTGCAGCCTCGGGCAGGGTGGCTCCCTGCTGCCGTGTGCACTCCCAGAGGGGCAGTGTGAACCCTTCCCCCCCAGATCTGTATATGGGGTAGGCACACGCACAGGCTGCAGACATGGGCTCCCTTCCTGCTTCCCTGCTCCGGGACCGCAGCCCTGCAGGCATCACCAGGCACAGCTGGGGACAGCGGGGCTGCATAGGGATCTCCTGGCTGCTGAGAGCTCTCCCCCCACTGCCCTGGCAACATTCTCCCTGCACCTGCTGCTGCTTTGAGGGGCACAGCCCCATGCTACTGCCCTCACTGCAGCCCCACGCACAGGAGGAGCATTGCTGGGGCAACATGGGCTGAGCAGTAGGAAGGAGATCCCCACATGGTTCCTCTCCTTCCTGCCTCACCAGGTCATGGGGGAGGGAAGCAGGGTGGCAGGGAACGGCAAGCCCGCATTGAGAAGCTGCTCACCGCTGTTCTCTACTGCCCTGCTTCTCTCCCCTGCGACCTGGGGCGGCAGGGAGCAGAGGAGCGATGTGGGGATCTCCTTGTCACTGCTTTTGCTGTGCTGCCGCAGTGATGCACCTCCTGCCCAGAGGGCTGCAGTGAGGGCAGCAGTGCAGGGCTGCACCCCTCAAAGCTGCAGCATGTGCAGGCCAGGACAACAAAGTGGGAGCTTGGAGCGGCGAGGAGATCTCTGCATGGCCCCACTGTCCCCAGCCACACCAGGTCATGCCTGCAGAGCTGCGGAGGTCCCGGGGCAGGGAAGCAGGAAGGGAGCCTGTGCCCACAGCCTGCCCCACACACAGATCTGGGATTGTAGGTCCTCCATGCCCCCCAGGTGTGCACGCTGCAGCAGGGAGCTCCCCCTCCCCCGGATAAGTCATCCATGGCCCCGTCCTGCTCCCCACTGGGGCCCTGCAGCCGCACCTTGTGGCCCTGGGCCCCAAGTCCCACCCGGCTGGGCAGCAGCCCCAGCCCTGCTCAGCTCCTTCCCTACAGGGGCCTCAATCCCTCTCTTTCCCACCCAGTTACCTGCTGGAGCTGCTCTGCAGGCTGCCTGGGGCCATGTACATGTCCGTGCGCGTGGCACCGCCTTCCTCCCGCTTCCTCCCAGCTCCCTGCAACCTTATAACTGAACATTGCGTGACTTTAAATGAGTGTGTTCTCTAATAGAGCAGCAACAAAATAACAAAAGAACATTAACCGGGATGACATTACGTGAGGAGTACCTATATATATATATATATATATATATATATATATTTTACTTATTTATATATAAACTTTTATTTG